ACACCCTTCTTTGTGGCAACCTCTTAGGCATACCCTCAAAAGTGAGTCTTCAAAAGACTGATGCTCCTTTGCATTATTTTCCATTGCAGGTTGGAAATAAGAAGCAACTTCATCCTCTGTAGGTCTTCCTTGCATCGAGACAAAAAGAGTAGAGAGTAGAGAAGTAAAGATGAATGAATGACACCATTAAATTTCTCATCAGAGTTTTTATGACATTCCAGAAAGACGAAAGAAGGTTTGAAGACTCATTGGAGAGTGCACTTGAGCCCAGAGGGAAAATGAACCCAGGAAAACCAGTTTGGGAAGGACTGGCGCTTTGTGATCCTCTTCAGGAGAGCAATGCAATAGATGAAAAAAAGGCAAGACAGAAGATCCAGAGTGAAAAAACAGTTACTTTCCACACAAAGAGACAACCCTTCAGGGAGCTCCAGTATCAGGATGCTGAGGGTCCCTGAGGAAACTGCAACCGCCTCTACCATCTTTGCAATCAATGGCTGAACCCAGAAAAACATACAAAAGCCCAGATGCTGGATTTGGTAGTCCTGGAGCAGTTCCTGGCCATTCTGCCTCTGGAGATGGAACATTGGTTGTGGGAATGTGGAGCCGAAACCAGTTCCCAGGCAGTGGCTCTGGCTGAAGGCTTCCTCCTGAGTCAGGCGGAGGAGAAGGAGCAAGGAGAGGTGCAGATCTAGTTGTTTACAAGTGATGGAATAATGCCAGTGTGGAATATTCGAGGCATTTTTATATTTCCACCCACAAATATTTTTTAAAATAGATTGTTCTATGTTCCCACATGTGGTACTTCTAACATCTTTCTTTGCTCTTTTCCACAGTTGCAGATAGAGGCGCCCCTTCAGGAATTGATGGCTGAGCATCCTAAGGCAAGACGTGATCCGTTAAATCCTTGTCAGGAGAATTTCATTGGAGGAATTTTTCCAAAGGATCTTAATCCAGACATGCCACCAGGTAAGGGAGGGATGCCTTCTGCACTGAAGTTCTTAAGAGCATCCAGAGGATTTTATTCCTAATCTTTTAAAATAAACTCATGGGCCTGTGTGCTACAATAGCATTTATTTCTAGTTTTTCCCTGAACGTATAAAGCATTCTTTTTAAAAGTCTATTTCCTCCCATCTTTCAGGGGCAGAGAACAGAGACGTATCTCAGCTCATAGGAGAAACATCTTCTCTTTCCGATAATGCAGAAGCACCTGTTGGCTTTCCAGGGCAGGTAGGAGGAAAATTTCCTGTGCCCCCCCCCCCCCAAAGGAAAAATGGTTAAGGCAAGAAGCGTCCTGGCTATCTCCCACCTCCATTTCAACCTTTGTTCCAACATGGGACTCTTTCCATCTCAGCAGGTCCATGTGGCTTGTTCTTTTCTTACATCTTGAAATATTTGATTAATTTATCAAAATATAAAATAACAAAATACACAAAAAGAAGAAAATAAAGGGAAAATAAGGAAGGAAAGGGGGAAGAGAAAAATGTGTAGGGGAAGAGGGGAGAGAGAAAATTATTGACTTCTGACTCCTTTGGGTGCAGTAGAATAAGGTAGTAACGTAAAACTTCAACTTTTTACATGCATGTATGTGTCTGTCTATCTATCTATCTCTATCTCTATCCATATCC